TTTCTGTGATTTTTCCTCTTCGTGCGAAGAAAATTCTGTGAAAATGTCAAGGAATGATATTGATTTGGTCTATTTCAAAAAAATAAAATGTGAGCGTAGATTTTTAAACACCGCAAACGAGATACGTGGTTTGGTAATTTCACCGTCGATGATCGGTTTCCGTCACAAAAATCTCAAAATGCGCTCTAAGAGAGTTAAAATTTCAAAAATTTACCCGGGATAGCAGCAAATTTGTTGATTTCATCAATTGGAGGATATTTTGAGCTAAATATGCATAAAACAGCGTATTTTTTGTGCGGATACGAATGGAAAATGTTCGTCATGTAAGCCTCAAATTACGTCCAAACAGGAGTTGAAAGTTGAAAAATTTCCTGGAGGAAGCTTCCCACAGCTCCTTTTGTACTTAAAGATGTTCCCGATGAAGATGAGTTTTAACGTCATTTTCGTAGTCACAGTCAACTCCAAAAAGTATTATGAACTCAGAAAACTTAAGACTGAAAAATGGACATTCATTGTTTTCGCACGTCCTGATTCAACTGAGGATCCAAGTATCCAAAAATTGTTGCGTATTCTAAACTTCTTTTTCTCGATGTGCGCCGCGAGGTTGAAATTTAGTAAATAACAATCTAAAATTCAGAATTTATTGCGTCGGTTCTAGAACCTAGCGATTCAAAATACGTCTTCCGAATTTTCTCGACGCATTAAGCATAATTCGGATGCGCTGATTGCCGCTTTACGAATTCTGATTGTAATGTGGTGGACACAGTCGCGGGTTATTTGCAAAGTTGATCAAACAAAAGTCGACCTCCAGCACTCCAGCTCAGTTTTGCATATCTAAGTACCCACTCACAGTCCAATTTTAGATATGAGGATGACATGTCCAAATCTATCTCTGCCCGATCCAGCCAGTGTTTCAAATCGGTTCATATTTGGAGTGAGTTCAGCCTCAGCAGTACCGAGCATCAAGTTGACGATTCGAGAGGAGATTTTTGAGGGTTTTCTTTCTATAAAATTCGATGGAGATATGATTTTTAACCCTTACCGTCCCAAATTAAATATATTTCCTCAACTTCGAACTTTTGGCAGGAGAGACTACATTATCGGTTGGATCGCACTTAGCAAAAAGGAACCAGCGTGATTACAGTGTTTTCAAAATCGTGCAAGTTCTGTTTTTCTTTTAAAATACATAAAATATGTACAGTATTAAGGTCTAAACAATTATTTTTCTTTAAAATTGACAATTTGTCGGTAAGAATCCAAAACTATTTGCTACTCTGGGAGATTTTTTTAGATGACTGCGAATAAGCAACATTTTTACAACACTATAATTGCGCTGGTTACTTTTTGCTAAATGCTATATCCAGTTAAGATTACCATTTCTCATAAATTAATTATTTTTAAATAATTACTAGGTGTCTTTCTGCTTCTTCGGTTCTATTTTGATTAATTCGAAGTATATCCGATCTAAGTTTTTGCATAATTTTTACCGAGGTGTTTCCAGCCTTCTCGCAGCGAGGGAGAGATTTAGAACTTTGCAAAACACATTCTTCCCGAAAGTAATCTAGTGTTAAAGCCCTCTTTTAAATGTGCGGTAATTTTCATTTACTTTATCAGTTTATAATTTTTTTAACATTTTTTCTGTTACTTCTTTTTTCTAACAATGAGTAGCCATAAATCGTCAACTTCAATCAGGATCAGCCTACCTGGATCTCACGCTTCTGTTTGTCTCCCTTCAGTTGATTTTTTTTCAAACCAGAGACAAAGCAGCACGATGTTTCACCACTTTCTGTGAAAATCAATCGGATTATAAAGTGTATACTCACAAAATATCAAGGAATAGGAACAGTGGCGAGGCGTGAATGATCTATTATCGATATTTCCTCATTTGAAGCTTTGGTAAACAACGATTATTAAGGTGTTCGTTAAGAACCCCCCGTATATTGATCTTTTCAATAGGTTTAAATGCCAAATCATTCGATACATTGCAAAGCACGCCACGTCTTTGAACTGGAAGTTGATTGGTCTGTAGCTCAGAACGCGTGAGAAAGAAGTAGGTGATATGTAGTTTTGAAATCTTATTTTGGTGATTTGCGTCCAATTTTTGAAAGCATTGAGGGTAGAAACGATTTCAGACCCCTTTAAAAGAAGCAACAGAAAATTAGGGAAACGCTGGCGCCCCTGAAAGACCACTTTTCTGTGTAGAGGCGTATCCAACAGTCATTCATTTCATAAAATCCACTGCCAGACGCGATGTAAATATCCACGTACAAATATGTACATGTAATTTCCGAACAACCTGCAAGTTGCATGTCGTTCAAATGCGCCCTAAGGCGATTCAAAATAGCTGCCGCTCATTCTTGATATCTTTTGAAAATCAAGTTTTCAGTGGCTCCGACAGGTAGATTATTATCTTGACACTATCTTACCCCTTGCTATTCTATGTTTAATGACATTCATTAAGAGTAATTTCATTCTGCATTAGATGGATTAGGACTTCAAGATGTCAATCTGCCAAATCACATTTAAATTTAAAAACGATGACACTAAGGACAATAAGGTAGCAATGGTTTTGAACCTTTCCAACCTTTGGAAATTATCGATTCTTGTTGGGGCCAGGTGCTCCAACAAGGATCGATTAATTAGCATAGGTTTAAATGGAGGAAATCCGGTGTTGCCAAATTGATGGATCCGGATTTAAATGAAAGAACGGGGCTCACGGGAAAATTGAGATACGCTTTTGCGTCAGAAAAGCGACGAATTCTGAATCTACTCGACGATGAATGAGATTTCGATTGTAACCGAGGTTTTGAATCTCAGGTTTCTGTTGTTTCTGACGTAGCTGTAATTCCTAGCTCTTCAACTGACCGACAGAGATGGCGAAGTTTGCCAACTTTAGCAAAGATCAGCCAAACTCCTTTGTGTTGTAAAATTTTCTGAGTCTGCATAAAGTTCCGAATTTTGAATATTAAGGGATTTACAAGGAGTGATGAAATAAGTCCTATAACTTCATTGTTCACTGGAAAAAAAAAAAAAAAAAAAAAAAAAAAAAACTCATTGGATCTAGAGTCGAGACTCTTGAAAACATTGACAAGAAAAAATACTCTTGATCCGATCCGATTTTTGCTTAAATCAAAAGGAAATCCGCTCAAATTAAGAGGCTTGGTTCCTGATTCAAGCAAAAATCCGATTGAATCAAGAGTATTTTTTCTTGTCGATGTTTTTAAGAGTCTGGACTCTAGATCCAATGTGTTTTTTTCCAGTTTTAGCTCATTAGTTAGTATTGGGTTGAGCATCCACAATGGTCACTGATGAGTTACAATGGGATCGTTCTGCGGTGACTCTTACTGTTGGCACCACTTGCTGAATCTCATCGATTGAGATTCATTATAATGATAGATTATACGCGAGGGGCCCGCCTCTGTCTTGATAAATATTGATTGTTTAACATAAACCTAAAGTGCAACGAAATCCAGTGCTGCCAACTTGCCAAAATCATCACCCTCGGTTATCCGCGGTTTGTACTATCCGCGACCTTCAAGTGACAGCTACTCTGTGCCTCTTCTCAATTGCATCCAACAGGAGAAAAAAAGCGACAGGAGGGTTAAACACTGCCGTGCTAAGGAAAAACGCCGTATGAGCCTTTAGGCGTTGCCAAATTTCCCATGAAAAAATCACAAATTTTCGGGGATATCTACTTACATTTTCCCTCCGATTTTTCAGAAAGTTTCCTTTGTGATTGGATCTAAATCGTCTAAAAATTTCACGAAAAAATATTCATTACTTTCCTCAAAAATGAATATTTTCCGAGAGGAAATTTGGCAACTCTCGAATGTTCATACGGCGTTCTTCCTTAGCACGGCAGAACACACCTAAGTGAATTTGAAGTTTAACGAATCTTAAGTCACCAAATTCCGCATGCGTCCCTACCTAACACGTGCTACAATATTCCTAATCTACCGTAAAAGTGACTTTTTTCAAAAAGTAAAGTTCAGTCCAACGATTATGGTTTAGTACCCTACAGTTTGTTTGTATCGCCTCGTTTTATCTGTACGAAGGAAAAACTTGGGTTATGCGAACCACTAAGTCCAGTATTGATTTTTTCAGCAGACTAACCGCTTTGTTGCGCGAACCAATCTCGACCAGTGAAATGAAGAGCAGCCCTGTCAATCTGAGAGGCTGGCTCCTGTGACTGATGACTCAGTTCTGTAAACCGTAAACCAAGAGCGGAAATAGTTGGAGGGGCTGCTCTTACAAAAAATTTTCAAAATTTTCCCGGGATGGCCATACAGATCCCTCTGTATAGATAAAAAAGACCCTTCGAACACTCCTTTTGTACTGGGGCATCTTTCTGTGCCTCTTAGGGCCCCTCAACCAAGTGCCTTTTGGGCCCCCATAATCAAGTGCCTCTGGGCCCCCTTAATCAAGTGCCTCTTGGGCCCCCTCAATAGCACTCTTCTGGCCTCTCAAAAAAAATTCCTTGTTTCCTCATTCAAGAAAACTTATTTACGTTATCAGTCTAATAACTGAAGTTGCTCCTCCGTGCCAACGACTTAATGCAAATATACGATTTTCTTCAAACTTGATCCTACAGACAGCCCAAGTTCGCTCAATCTTATTAACAGAGAATTTGCAGGTGTCTTAAATTTTGTGAATTTCATCTATAAAATGATACCTCTAGGAAAAGTGAGTACGAGGATATCCTTGGTTTCAAAATTGGACAATTATTAGAGAAAATATGACAAAATTTGCTAAAATACATGTGTTTTAATGGAAAATGCCGCCAGATGACGTCATTAGGCGGCACATTTTCTCACTGTTGAATGTATTTTCCTCCAATTTCCCACGTTACCAAAAAATTATGAAAAATACTGCGAACCCAGCTCATTAGGCACTTTCCGTTGAAGCAATATAATTTGTGTGTGGAAATTCTCCATTTGCGGTCGTAATCACTGCGCCCCTTACCCCATCATCAGCGTCAACAGAAGCATAAACAAACGCACCTGTCTGTCGGCGAGGGGGCGCCGAGTCCCTCGGGGCGCCCCCCTCAAAATCCTGAGCGAGCACATCCACACTAACACCAACACAGAGCACAAAAATCCACCGCAGCGAGAAAACGCTCATCTCGGCGATTCCGTTCACATCCTGAAACCACTCGCGATCATCAAAAAATCACCGGAAACTCACAAAAATAATAACAGCGCGCGACGTAAGGATCCACTTGTTGACGGCGAGACTGATCACGGTACCGATTCTCTTGTTGACTCCGAGGAGACTGATCACTGATTCTGATTGTGGTAGCGCGGCGCGCGGCACGATTCCCAAGGCGAACCTGCTCCACCGCGGCGGCTGCGAACTGAGTCGGGTTTCCCGCTAGCTACGCGCGCGACGCAGTGGACCTCTCAGCGTTCACACGCGATACACGATCTGGGTGTCTAATTGGTCACCGCGCGCCCAACAGTTCACTTGTATTTATAGACGCGTCCTCCCACTCCCTGGTAGCTTCGTCGTCAACTTCCAACTTGGCACCCCCGTTGAGGGGCGATTCGACCCGTTTTTCCAGGGGTGGAGTGGCTTGGGCCATAAGGGCGTTTGCCCCTTTAATGGAGGAATTGCATGTGTGAGGAATTTGCGATTTGACTGTCGATTCGTGTGTGAAAGTTCGCGAGAAACACGATGGTGCCACTGGTTTTCTCTGCAATCAACTCCCAAGTTCAAAAAAAGCTCTCAAGTTGAGGCTAAAATTGAGGGGATATCCCACGCTATCCTGAGAGTCCACTTCTACATCAAGACAAACTCTCCATGGAAAGATAGGGAGCAAATACATTGACAGGGCTGCTGTGATTTCAGTTTTAGAGTCGCCCCAAATGAAGTGGCAGCCCTGTCAATGTATTTGCTCCCTATCTTTGCACGGAGAGTTTGTCTTGATGTAGAGGTGGACTCTCAGGATAGCGTGGGATATCCCCTCCATTTTGGCCTCAACTTGAGAGCTTTTCTTGAACTTAGGAGTTGATTTCAGAGAAAACCAGTGGCACCATCGTGTTTCTCGCAAACTTTTACATAGGAATCAACAGTCAAATCGCAAATTCCTCACACATGCAACATCTCCATTTTGGCTATAAGGGCCGTTGGGGGCCCCAGTGCAAGGTAGAGTCCCAATGCAATGGGGTGCAATGCAGGTGTGCAATGTAAGTGACTCTTGCAGACCCCTTTGGCCAAAACGCAGGTTCTTGTTCCCCCGTCTGAGCCGTGCATGGCGCGAGATTTGAATTTCAACAACTTTGCGGTCTTGGCCGAAAACAAATATGACAGTCGCCAACGACAAAAATGAACAAAAATCCACTTCACTTGAAGAAAATGGACGTTCATTCTTAAAGCATATGCTTGCACTAAATTTACTCGTTTTTATCAACAAGAGACGGGCATAATTGTTTTCGGCCGAGACATCAGTGTTCTTGGAATTCAAATCTCGCGCTACGGCCACAGTGGCGGGAAAAAAAGCTGCGTTTCGGCAATAGGGGTCAGAAAGAGCATACCTACGCTACGTTTCAAGTCTCTTTGCTCCAGTGAGCCCAATATGTAGGCCTTGTCGGGCCCTTGTTATGGAACCTCATAAAGCCTTTCAAGACCTCCTTTGGACTTTTTCTGTCGCAGGCAAATAGTGAAATCAGACATTTTGTCAAATGCATGGGCAGATAGTCAAATTTTGACGGTCTACAAAATTTTGTGAATTTGTGGCGAAAAGCCCACGATTTATCTCTATCTTTGGAAAAATATCTCATCACACCTACGAACTCTTTTTGTCTCTTCCTCTTTAATTGCTTCTCATATTTTTTAATGTTGAGATTCCAAAAATTCTGTACTTTACGACATGCTGAATATTTCAAGATCAGTGTCTCTTCAGGAGCTAAAAATTGTTTAAAATACTATTGTGTGGGAAATTTTTACTAAGAATTTTCTCTTTCAGGAGCAATGAACTATTTTGTCTGAAATTAGGAAAAGAATCAGAATTTCAATCTAAGTTAGAATATTTGACTATTTGCCTAAGCATTTGACAAAATGCCTGATTTTACTATTTGCCTGCGACATCTCTATCAAACAGAACTATGTGCATTATGACGTGCGCCTGTTACGCACATATTCCAATGGGTTTCAGGGCTCATGTTTTAATGCACATAGTTCAGTTTGGCAGAAATACGTCCATTTAGACATCGTCGTTGCCCGGGTAAAGGAACGTAACTCCATTCCATGGTTGAAAAATGTACTCAAACTATTCAATATTTTTTTCAAGAATGTAACTGTGCAATTTTTGATCGAAATTTTTTCTGTTTTTGTAGGAGATGAGGGGAAAAATCAGATGACTTTTTGGTCAGAAATGCTCAAGATCATCTTGGTAAAAATGTAATTAGCGAGGAGGAAATTCGGCAGCCCTAAAATGCAGTTACGTCTTATTGTGGGGTAACGAGAGCCTGTTCCTTCTTTTAGAGGTCCCTAGTAAAAATTAGCAGTAGAATCTGTGCTCCAAAATACCATAGAGCTACAGCCGGCTGTAAGCTGTAGCTTCTATAGCCGGCAACACAATTTCTTATAGCCTTTTATAGCCGATGGCGATTAAGCAACAGCCTGGCAATAAAGTGTATGCTAAACGTTACTAATTACGGATGCTAGGACCTATTGAGTTTTTGGACGACCGCTTTCTTTTTGGGCCGTATTATCTTGATTTATTTTGCGAGGAAAGCTCCGTACTTTTGAAAGATGCCTGCCCTTCCTAATATGTTGGAGCGCCTTCAATTTCGTATAATACTGTGCAATACCTCTGGTGTGAAATAGTTGCTTCAAGCGCCGGGGTACGCAGCGGCGCGGCGGGCGGGCAGCCAGCGCGAAACGCGTATTGGCGCCTACAAACCTAACAGGGATACTTCACGCATTGCGCAATGCGTGAAGTATCCCTGTTAGGTTTGTAGGCGCCAGTGCACCGCCGCTCCGCTTAGTGTCAGGCTCTAATATTTAATCTCGTGGAGTCAGCGTTGTTCAACTCATACTTTGAAATGTTTGCACACTCTGTATGGATTATTCTCATTTTAATTGATGAAAAATAATATGTAGTTGAGGAAAATATAATGTGCGTTTTGTAAATATTAAGGTGATTCCGTACAAACTTAAGGATTTACAAATCACACGAATTTCTACACAATTTCTTATAGCCCTTTATAGCTGATGGCGAAAAAGCAACAGCCAGGCGATAAAGTGTAAAGCCCGGCGATAGGAACTATATCCGCGCTGTATAAATTTGTATCGCTTCGTGTAGTCCGGCCGTATAACTTTTTCCACTTTCTACAGCCAGCTATATGATTTTCTATCGCCTTCTTCAGTCGGCTATAAGAACTCCTATGGTATTTTGAAACGCAGGTCCTATCGCCAATTTTCACCAGGGGTACACCGAATCCAAGTGCTCTCTACTGGAAATTTGGAGCCAGGCTTTATATGCTTTTTTGATTTGTTGGAACTGAGAGAGGAGGCTTTCGACTACAAGGAGACAAAATATCGGTACTTATGAGACACTGACTTTTTTGGATCCGGGTAACCATAGCTTTTGGTCATAGAAATCGAACCTCGGCTCAAACTGATTTTTTTGAGATCCATTTTTTAATAAGGTCTTAGATCATCTGAATCAAAATTCGGCCCCTATCACCGAAAGAATTGGTCCCGCGGACTACCCGGGACTTTGATTTTTGAGGACTTCAGTTAGGCCCCAGTAGCGGAAGTTTTCTTTCTCCGTTGAGCATGGCATTTTAAGGCATTTATAGGAGAAGCTAGAGGGATGCGTATGTTCGACAGGAGTTTGAAAAAGAAAAGGGAGAACAGTTTGTTCGTTTCTCTTTTCAATAATATATTTTTTAGCATTTTATTCACTGTATTCTCTATACAGAAATATGTGCAATTATCAGAACAACGACATCTTAGCGACTCATTCACATAAATTACATATTGATGGCGTAAGTCGCCAATCACATATCTCGTTTGCGGTGTCTGAAAATCTGCGCCTCTATGTTATTTTTTGAAAGGAGAACAAATTGGACTGCATTTTGCAATTTGGAACTACAAATTCTGGCTCTTCTGGAAAAACACTTATGTGCATAGGGAAACTACTGGCATATACGTTGTTTTCAAACCAAGGTAGAATTTATAGTTCCAAATTGCAAAATGTAGTCCAATTGACATCATTCCTTGATATTTAGGCAGAATTTTTTTCGCACAAGGAAGAAAAATCACAACAGTTTTAAAGAATTGCCGTTGAGTAGTTTTCTGTTTCGTAAACATTTAAATTAGATAGTATATAAACATTTAAAATCTGATTCAAATTCTGGGCCTTTTTCCCCCTTTTGTGTGTGAGGGAGGGTGAGGGTGTGTGTATGTGTGTCGCACGAGGCGGTTTTAAAGGGCTCCCGGGGTTTTTTTTTCAGTCCTCTAATTTCTCTTGAATTTTTAAGCAGGTCCAGTGCCTCTTTGCTCCGATGGTTGTGCTGTCTCAAAAAAGAGAAACAAAAAGAGTGGAGATTTGCAACGTTGCCATGGAAAAATGCTCATTTTTCGAATTCACCCATCGACATTTTCTGTCCGAGGGATAAAAGTCTCGAGAACTAGAGCGCCGCGGCGCCACAAGCATTTCGCTTTTCCAGAAACTCATCGGAGGTCCTTACGCCCTGATGAAGCTCTCATCCGGCACCACCGCAACGCCAATGGACCACAATCCGTCTGGAAACCTGAAGATCTCGTCTGACTTTTGGGACAAAGACTCACATTCAATCCAGGTTTCCAACGGTGGCGAGGCGTGAATGGTCGATTCTTGACATTTCCCCATCTAAACCTACGGAAAAGGATCGATAAACAGGGTG